TTTGTGTTGTTTTTTTTCCGTCTTTGGTTGTCACCCTATTTGATTTTCCTTTTATTGAGCACATGGGTGGTTTCAAATTGGAACTGTAATAATAACTGAAATGACTATACAAATTACAAATTATAAATATAAAAACCCAATAACTTACTATTTTGAGAAAAACATCTTGGTCGCCGCACGCGGGAATCCAACCGCTAACCGCTCGCCTCACAGTTTGCAGTCAAGCACTCTACTAGATGCGCCACGGAAGCATCACGTGAGTCGCTGTACAAAGTCTATTCACATTTTGTTCTCCTATTTTTTCTCAAATTGATCTGGCTCTCTTCTGGTTATTCCTTTTAGTTGTTAATTTAATTTTGCTTTTAAATATTTATTGATTAATATTAATATTTATATATTTATTATGGTTCAATATTAACAGTAATTGAATGTTTCAAGTTTGAAAAACTTAAACATCGTTTTTATCAAAATATAATTATTCATGAGCTAAAAAAAAATGCAATACATATTTTTTATTATTATGTAAATATTAGTGTTAAAAAAAAAACAAAAATACACCATGAGTTTTTCGTCTCGACGTGGGATTGAACTCACACTTGCAGCCGCAAGCTTGAATAACAGATGCATGCACGCACGCGTTAGACTCCTAGGCTACCGATACCGATTTTATGGGAATTTTTTTTTATTTTTAGAAAAGTTCAGTCTTTTTTTTTTTAAAATCAATGGCGATTTTACCCCTCAAATAAAGAAAGGAAGATTAGAAAAACAAACCTTATAATTTAGAAAAAAATTGATTTTTCTGTATTTGAGAAAAAATTTTCAAAAAAAACTCGTTCAATAGAGAATTTTTTTTGAAGATTAGAAAATTTTTCTGAAGATTAGAAAATTTTTCCTCTTTATAGAATATTTTTTTAAAGCACAGAAAAAATTTATTTTTCTATATTTAAGAAAAAATCATTTTTTGAGTGTAGGATTCAGAGGACCAGGATTTGGGGACCTGGATTTGACGGTCTTAGATTTGGCGGAGCTAGTAGCTATGATTATGCGCATATTTATTAGCCTCCTGAGGAGCCGAACCAGTATAACGCGCTCGAAGTTACTTCACCGGAGTGCCCTATAAACTACGTGCTCTCCTGTGAAGCGGTTATTAAATTCATGTGGTCGCGCCTGAACTAACTTCTAATTAACTAATCGATTTCTAAACTTTTTATTCCGAATTAAACTTTTTAACGGAAGAAGCCTTCCGATAAAATTAAATATAAACAAGAGAGAACACTATAGTCGGGTGCCCCGACTATCAGATACCCGTTACTCAGCTAAAGGGAGTGCGAAGTAGATGGAGATAAAAACTTTGATCTGCCGTAACTTTTTAACGAATGGTCCGATTTAAAAACTTTATTCTACATTTCGATAGGTATTCATAGGTATAGGTATTCACAATAAAACTGCATTTTTACTTTTCCGAAATATTGAAATTTTTAAAATCGTATATAAGCGATTGTGGGCGTTAGAGGGGACGTGGCAAACTTGCGCTGCGTTGGAACTCCTAGAATCTGCATGCAAAATGTCAATCTTCTAGCTTTTATAGTTTCCGAGATCTCAGCGTTCATACAGACGGACAGACGGACTCGGCTAGTGATCCTGATCAAGAATATATATAGTTTATAGGGTCGGAAACGCTTCCTTCTACCTGTTACATACTTTTGCACGAATCTAATATACCCTTTTACTCTACGAGTAACGGGTATAAAAAGAAGGGATATATGTAGGGGAGAGGTCTGTAGGTTGAGACAGTCTGTAAGTTGAGACACTCAATTTTCTCAAAACTTTTCCACTAAAAAAATTTTTTTTTTTTTTTTTTTAGTCCTTTTTAGTAACAAAACTTTTGGGGAAAACATTATAAGCCAGGCTCTAGCCAGATTTAAGCTGTGTGAGTCGTGCACTATTTTTCATTAGTATATTAACTGTTAACTAATTAAAAAAAGAATCAGCTTAATGTGACAGTCAGAACAAAAGTTATTAATTTTTTCCCGAAACAACCCATTTTGTGTAAGTTGAGACACCCATTTTTCATACAAAAAAGCCTGAGGCCAACAGAGGTCGCTTTCTGCCTAGTACATTTCTTTGATATTAGGGGAAAAGTGAATGTTCAAAGAGCCTTTTGATTTTGATTGTTATTTGGTCTAAGTTCTTAAAAAATGGATGGGAAATGATTTAGGACGAGCTAAAATTGATTAAATTAACATAAATAAATAGTTCCTTATAGTTTGGAGTACTTTTTGTGTGAGTATAATTGACTTTAAAAAGTGTCTCAGCCTACAGACCTCTTTTTCAAATTGTCATTTTTTGGCACTTTTCAAAAAAAATTATTTTTTAGTTTTCCCAAGGGAAAAAAAAATTTTTTTTTGCTTTATTTTACAGCTAAAAGACTAAGCTTTCGATCGGTACCTAACACGTGAAGTTTCAAAAGCGAATGTCCAAATGGGAGACTAAAACCAAAAGGTGTCTCAACCTACAGACCTCTCTCCTATGTGTATAGAAATAATAACATAAAGAAAGAATAAAAATTTGACAACAATTTAATACATTTTAAATATATTTTAACTTTAAGCTTGATATCTCCTCTATTGTACATGTATTTATATTTATTTATAGGGATACATTTTATTTTATTTAGATACTATTTTTAGAACTTATAAGATAAAACACAAAAAGAACTTAAAGCGTCAACCACTTCAACACCGTGTAAATAGGGATTACATATCAAAGCGAAAGTTTGTAGAAAAATAAAGCGCTTGCCAAAGACTTTTATGTCCAATAAAAACATTGTTTTTGATTTTTATAAATTTTTTAAAGATATTTATTAAGATTTACCTGTACAACAGCTAGAAGGTTGAGATTTCCAACAAATATTCTTGCGCTTCCTACGCTGCGCAAGTTTATTTCAGCCAAGCACCACGCCCCCCCTAACGCCCACAATCGCCTACTAACGATTCTAAAATGTGTCTGGCGCCCACGCCTTTAAAGATTTGCGAGAAGTATAAATCCAATTTTGTTGTGTATATTTATCAAATAAAAACACCTCTTAACGAGGTAAAAAACTAGTGACGACCGCACCTTCAACATACAAAAGTTCTGATATCAACATTTGTGACGAAAAATTATTACACTCGTCATTAAATAGACTTTCTAATATTTTCTCAATCGGCCCGCCCTAGCAAACTATTCCAGCTTTTTTCCCTTTACAGGCATTTTCTATTGCAGCGTGACGAATGAGAAAAGATTAGAAAGTCTATTTAATGACGAGTGTAATAATTTTTCGTCACAAATGTTGATATCAGAACTTTTGTATGTTAAAGGTGCGGTCGTCACTAGTTTTTTACCTCGTTAAGAGGTGTTTTTATTTGATATCAGAAGTTTTTGTTTGTTTACATTTGCTCTCATAGGAGCTAATATATACATTTAAATTTAAATTGGTCAATCATAATTTTTAAACTATTGTATTTTAACAAATTAAGTTAAAAAGGCGTTGAAGTATTTCAAAATACCTTTTAAACGAGGTATAGCACATGTCTGTACCTTTAGTAGTGTAGAACTTACAAACTAACGAAAGTTAGCTATTTTTACCTTTTTCCCGCTAAAGTAGCGGCTTTTTCCAAAAGTCGTAGAACAAAAGATTCCTATATGGAACTCTTAAGTGCAAATTTTCTGATTCCATGACCCTAAAATACAGTTCGGATACCCTCCCACAAAATTCAATACTCAGGGAGCGTTAATTGTTCGAGCTGGCAAAAGTGGCTATTTTCGTATAAAAATAACTTTTAAACGTGACTTTTTACAGTAATGTGTTATATACCAAAATTAAAGGAATCTCAAGGGCTATACAGTTTAAGGTTGTAAAGAAAATCGTTAGAGCCGTTTTTGAGAAAAATAAAAAAAAGCTAAAAAAAAAGTTTTAAAAAATTATCTTTTGTTCATATTTTTTTAATTATTACATTTACACAAATTGCATATAGAAGGCGTTTATAGCATTTAAAAATACCTTTCAAACGAGATGCAGCACAAGCCTGTAGCTTTAGTAGTATATAAGTTACGGATTTCCGAATTTTAGCTATTTATAGCTGTTTTCCCGCTAAACTAGCGAGTTTTTCCAAATGTGGTAGAACAAAAGTTTTTCATATCGATGTGATGAACGTCATATCAAATTTTCAAAACTTAAAAAACATGTTTTGGACAAACTGACAAACTGACAAACTGACAAACTGACAAACAGAATTAAATTTTCATTTTGGGAAGACGAAGGAAATCTTATTTTGGCTATAACTTTTGAACGGAGCGTCGGATTTTGACAAATGACCCCTCATTCGACGGGTATTTTCAAAAGGAATACAACTAAAACATTTCAAGGGGGCATTTATCCCCACCGGCCCCAACAGCTCCAAATTTCGAAATTTTCACTTTTTCACTTTCACCGCTCTCTCTCCCAAGCCAATTAATTTTCTTAGAGTCTTGGTATGCAATCCTGTTAGTTTTCGCAATACCTTTCGATAGGTGTATCATTCATTATGATCGGACCATCACAGTAGATTTTCATTTCTTCGTGTATATATAGTAGTCGCCTTCGCACACTCTCCTGGTGCGCTTCGTCACTACATGGACTGCCGTCCATAGTGATACCTATCGAAATGTAGAAGACATTTTTCAAATCTGACCATTCATTAAAATGTTCTGCGGAATTAAAACTATATCCATCTCCCTCGCACTCCCTTTAGCTGTGCGACGGGTATTAAATAGTCGGGACACCAACCCGACTATAGCATTCTCTCTTGCTTTATAAGCGCAGTTAAGAAATTCTTACCCAGCACTGACAATCTTTCTTCCGTCTTGTACAACATTTTTCAAATAAAAAATGGTTGTATGTGCCCATATACAATACATATGTATACATACATATATGTATCTAATCCGAAATGTCCCACATCAAAAAGTCATATATGATCTATGTTAAACAAATTACTTTATTTATATGTAAATTCAGGTGTCCAGTCAGATTCGGTTCGCGCCTTACAATTCTCGGACGAACGGTACAGCGTACTGGGGCACATACTGCGAGTAGGCGCCAGCGGATCCATAGCTGGGGGCCGGAGCACTGCACGGCACGGGCTGAAGAGAGGGCTGGCAACTGAACAGGTAGTTCTTGGGGCACTGCGGCGACGGAATGGATGACGGGGCTGAGTAGGCAGGAGCAGCGGGAGCGGAGTAAGACGGGGCAGCGGGAGCGGAGTAAGACGGGGCAGCTGGAGCCGGGTAGGACGGGGCAGCTGGAGCCGAGTAGGACGGGGTTGCTGGAGCCGAGTATGACGGGGCAGCAGGGGCGGCGGCGTAGGAGGCTGGGGCAGCTGGAGCTCCGTATCCGCCGTAGGCAGCACGCGACACACGGATGTTCTCAGCCAGAGGAGCAGGAATTAAGATGCCCTGTGTGGGCTGCAGCTGGATGGTCTCCGAGGACACGGCGGACAAGGCCAAGACGCCGGCGATGAGAAGGTGACCAAAGTTGAATGCCATTGCGGATTTTGCAGCTGAAGTGGCGAACGAAAGGTTACTGTTGGTTAAACCCTCAAAACCAACCGCCTTTATAGCGCACACCAAAAACGCTGATCGCACTCCCGAATAGAACGACAGCGGACAGAAAAAATGCAAATGGAAGCACCGGGGCTCGAAAACTGCTGACGACCCGCAAACGGGGCGCGACTTTGGAGCAAGGTATTGGGTGCCCGATATTAGCTACCTAGGTCTCTTTGCAAATGGCTAAGACGATGACGCTCTGGTTTCTGGTCGTGGTGACCTTAAATCCCACTTGTCTTATCAAAATCAATTCGGCATCAATGCTCTTGTTGTTGGACCGTCAGAATGCCGAACATGATCACAGTTGGGCCCACCTCCTTCCCATAAATTTCTACTCCGAAATGAACCAGCAGTACTTCAGAAGATTTCGCCGACAGGCTGGCGTATTTGGGACCGGAAAACGAAACCAACACCCCTTTGAATATGCTCGATATGTCTGAAAATAAATGCGACTAAATATATACCATATGTATGTATGTACGTTTTTACTCATTTTATGGGGTGGGCTACTCAATAAATAAAAAGTCCACTGACATGCAGGCGTAAGTTTTTCAACAAAATGCAATCCAAAACATGTTTTTGTCAACAAAAATGACGGACAACTGCAGTAAAACCTTCTCTTCTTGGGCTCCTCAGTCGACTCTTTAGTCCAAAAACTTCTCGTCTCCTTGTTAATAAAATCTCAAAACTATTTTATTTATTCATATAAAAATGATTTACAACAGTTGCAATATTATTTTATTATTTTAATTTACTAAAAAAAAGTGTTTAAATTAAATTAGAGATATAGATATAGATATAGAGCATTAGTAATTTAACTGTTAAAAAATAAAAAGAAGAGATAACGCTATAGTCGGGTGCCCCGATCATATCATAACTTTTTTCCTTAATTTCCGTAAAAACAACAGTATTTTGTATTTTGTCCTAAGCAAACTACTTAAGAAATATATAAAAACTTGCATAAAAAATCCTAAAATTCTTATTGCTTGCGTAAGTTATCAGCTGCACAGAACAGAAACAAAGAAATTCATTTTCCGACACAAATCCTTACATTAATTTTCTTCATAGCATTAGTACTTTGTCCAAAACATATTGTTTAAACTCCAAATCGATTAGCATGCAAATCTAAAAATAAACTTGTTTTCTTAAAAAAAAAGTAGAACAAAAAATTGCTAAAAGATAGATCTCTCTCAAAAAGATAGCTCTCGAACAAACAATAAGAAATTTTGGTTAGGATTTATGAAATTAGAGGGTATATTATTAATAGGTAACGAAAAGGTAAATAAAAACCAAATACTCTTGGCGAATTAGTAAACGGGGGCTTTTGGAAGGTATCCACAGTAGACAACTCTTATAACTCTTAGAATACTCTTGACAGCATAGTCCGTTCCAGGGTACGGGGTTCCTACAGGCTTTCTTGGTATACGAAAGGACTGCAAAAATACAAAAACCTTAGGAACAAATATTTCAAGAAATTTTCTAGAACACATAACCCAGCAGATGGTGAGAGATACAGGCAGCATAAACGTGAGTTTGAGTTTCTCAATAAATTTCTTTATAACCAATACATTTGTGAAGTTGAGCATAGCTTGAAGGACAACCCTAAGGCGTTTTGGCGCTTTGTTAATTCTAAGAAATCTTATTCGTCTATACCTTCAGCTATGTCTTATGGTGATATTGTTGCTTCCACTGAGGCCGATATCGCCAATTCGTTTGCTGCGTGTTTTTCCTCAAACATTGAACCTTCCAATGATAGGTATGATCAGGAAACATTAAATTCAATTCCAGAAATTTGCAGTATTGGAAGTCTGGACATATCGTATGATGACATTTCTGAAGCAATCAGCAATCCCCAAGGCTAGACTTTGATGGAATTTCTTCATTCTTCCTTAAGAAATGCATTGGCAGTCTGTACCTACCTCGACAGATCTTGTTTTCTTCTTCTTATATATTTAGATTTACTTGCTTCTATGTTAAAACAATCTAAATTTGATCTGCTCTCGTATTATTTTGGCATAATTATACCCGTTACTCGTAGAGTAAAAGGGTATATTGTATTCGTGCAAAAGTATGTAACAGGGAGAAGGAAGCGTTTCCGACCCTATAAAGTATATCAAATAAAAACACCTCTTAACGAGGTAAAAAACTAGTGACGATCGCACCTTCAACGTACAAAAGTTCTGATATCAACTTTTGTGACGAAAAATGATTTTAGATGCGACTAAATAAGTACGCTACCTAAAATTTACTCGTTCGGCCCGCTTTAGCAAATATTTAATATCTACACAAAAGTTTTCTGTTGTAGCGTGCCGAATGAATAAATTTTCGGTAGCGTACTTATTTAGTCTCATATATGCTAATATAAACAATTTAATTTAATTTTTAAACTATTGTATTTTAATGAATTAAGATAAAAAGGCGTTGAAGTATTTCAAAATACCTTTTAAACGAGGTATAGCACATGTCTGTACCTTTAGTAGTGTAGAGCTTACAAACTAACGAAATTTAGCTATTTTTAGCTTTTTCCCGCTAAAGTAGCGGCTTTTTCCAAAAGTCGTAGAACAAAAGATTCCTATATGGAACTCTTAAGTGCAAATTTACTGATTCCATGTCCCTAAAATACAGTTCGGATACCCTCACACAAAATTCAATACTCAGGGAGCGTTAGTTGTTCGAGCTGGCAAAAGTGGCTATTTTCGTATAAAAATAACTTTTAAACGTGACTTTTTACAGTAATGTGTTATATACCAAAATTTAAGGAATCTCAAGGGCTATACAGTTTAAAGTTTTCAAGAAAATCGTTAGAGCCGTTTTTTAGAAAAATAAAAAAAAAGTTTTAAAAAATTGTCTTTTGTTCATATCTTTTTAACTATTATATTTACACAAATTGCATATAGAAGAAATTGCATATATAGAAAGATGAACTCAAATCTTAATCGCGGAGTAAAAAAAAAAAATTATGGAAGGACCTGTTTGACACCTATAGGCCCAAAACAATTAGCGTTCGCCGTTAGACTTTAAAATAGCAATTTGACTTCCCAATTTAGGCTCGTCATTGGGATTTTCTCCGCTTAGATATATTTTTCCGACTCAAATGTATCAAAATTCAAGTATTTCTTTCAAATACATTTTTTCAAACATACTAAGGACACTAATAAGTGAGTTTCTCGTGTGTATCACTATGGACGGCAGTCCATGTAGTGACGAAGCGCACCAGGAGAGTTGGCAAAGGCGACTACTATTATATAGCCGCAAAATTGAAAATCTGCTGTGATAGTCCGATCGTAATGAGTAATACACCATTCCAAAGGTATTGCAAAAACTTAAAGGATTGCATACCAAGACTTTAAGAAAATCAATTGGCTTGGGAGAGAGAGCGGTGAAAGTGAAAAAGTGAAAATTTCGAATTTTGGAGCTGTTGGGGCCGGTGGAAATATAAATGCCCCCTCGCAATGTTTTAATTGTGTTCCTATTGAAAATACCCGTTGAATGAGGGGTCATATGCAAAAATCCGACGCTCCGTTCAAAAGTTATAGCCAAAATAAGATTTTCTTCGTCTTCCCAAAATGAAAATTTATTCTGTTTGTCAGTTTGTCAGTTTGTCCAAAACATGTTTTTTAAGTTTTGAAAATTTGATATGACGTTTATCACATCGGTATAAAAAACTTTTGTTTTATCACTTTTGGAAAATCTCGCTAGTTTAGCGGGAAAACAGCTATAAATAGCTAAAATTCGGTAACTTCTATACTACTAAAGCTACAGACTTGTGCTGCATCTCGATTGAAAGGTATTTTTAAATGCTATAAACGCCTTTTATTTGCAATTTGTGTAAATGTAATAGTTAAAAATATATGAACAAAAGAAAATTTGTTCAAACTTTTTTTTTACCTTTTTTTTAATTTTCTCAAAAACGGCTCTAACGATTTTCCTTACAACTTTAAACTGTATAGCCCTTGAGATTCCTTAAATTTTGGTATATATCATGTTTATGTAAAAAATTTAAAAGTTATTCAGAAACGAAAATAGCCACTTTTGCCAGCTCAGAACAACTAACGCTTCCTGAGTGTTTAATTTTGTGCGTGGGTATCCAAACTGTATTTTAAGCTCATAGAATCATTTCAATTGTTTTAAGGAGTTCCAAATAGGAAACTTTTGTTTTACGACTTTTGGAAAAACCCGCTGCTTTAGCGGAAAAAAAGCTAGAAACAGCTAAATTTCGTTAGTTTGTAAGTTCTACACTACTGAAGCTACAGACATGTGCTATACCTCGTTTAAAAGGTATTTTGAAATACTTAAGCGCCTTTTTAACTTAATTTGTTTAAATACAATGGTTTACAAATTATGATTGACCAATTTAAATTTAAATGTATATACTAGCTCCTATGAGAGCAAATATAAACAAACAAAAACTTCTGATATCAAATAAAAACACCTCTTAACGAGGTAAAAAACTAGTGACGATCGCACCTTCAACATACAAAAGTTCTGATATCAACATTTGTGACGAAAAATTATTACACTCGTCATTAAATACACTTTCTAAGATTTTCTCATTCGGCACGCTGCAATAGAAAATGCCTATGAAGGTAAAAAGGCTAAAATAGTATGCTAGGGCGGGCCGAATGAGAAAATATTAGAAAGTGTATTTAATGACGAGTGTAATAATTTTTCGTCACAAATGTTGATATCAGAACTTTTGTATGTTGAAGGTGCGATCGTCACTAGTTTTTTACCTCGTTAAGAGGTGTTTTTATTTGATCCAAATGAGCCCTAAGCCTAGCGGCGAACGCTAATTGTTTTGGGCCTATAAGTGTCAAACAGGTCCTTCCATAATTTTTTTTTTTTTACTCCGCGATTAAGATTTGAGTTCATCTTCACATTCAGAAGGATAAATGAATTAAAAACTGAAAGGATTTTGAAATATAAATTAATTTTTGATTTAACTAAAGAAATTACCCATGGGAAGTGCATATATTTTCGCAGATTCAGCTCATCCAGAGCTGTCGAAAGCTAATGATTATGAATTAAATGTGTCTTAACATTACCACAAAACAATATTGGAAGTCCACTTAACGAAAAAATGTTAGAAAACACAATATTTTTAGACGAAACTATGCCAAAAGTCCTTCCCAAGGGTCGGGAGTAGTTTTTACTTGGCAACAACAACAAAAGGCATTGTTTCCATATAAAGTTAACTTTAAATTGTTGTTAAACAAAAGGGTAGTCATGCCAAATTAAAAAAAAATAGGTTTTGGCCACTATGTTAATTTATTCGATTTTTCTGTTAACTGGTTGAAAAAAGCTGTGGCCTTTTTTTTTGGGCTTTTTTTGTAATTAATTCATAAAAAATATTTGTAAAATATTTAAAAAATCATAAAATTATTATACACTAATGTGTATCCTCATAGATGTATTCTGCGTTTAAATTATTTTGATAACA